GGAGGAGGGCCGAGCACGTGGGCCCGTGGGGCTGGGGAGACCGTTTTGTTTTGCTTCTTTTCCAGCGAAGTGAGAGGCCGCTGGCGTCCTAGCGCGGAGGGAGGTCTGGGGCGCCCGGCTGGGAGGGCTGCTGCTCAGACCCGGTGTGGGGTCCGAGGAGAGGCACCGGGCTGCCCCCTGCTGGACGCGGCAGGCGTTGCCGGGAGGGAGTGGTGGGTGTACATGTTTTGTTAGGAAAACCCAGCGGCCTTTTGGGGGTTCGGGAACTTGAAGATGCCCGTGGGACTTGGAAAGAGAGACGGGTGAACGTGCCCGTGGGCATTAGACGTGCAGCTCCCGCTGATGTGTAGGCAGCGGGTGCGGAGCCCCGTGTGGAAGGGAGCAGGTGTGGGCGTGAAGCGTTGGGGATGCGCTCTACACCCCAAGGAGCGTTTAAGTCTACCAGACCTGAGGCCTGAACCTAACTGTCCCCTATACCTGGGCTCCTGAGCATTAAAGAGAAAAAACCAACATGACAGAAAAATGTTAGTTACATGCAAACAAGTGGTTAGAATAAGATGGAACTTGGAGACATTGTAGAAAATAGGTCTACCTTTCATCTACCTTTCATCCAGCGCCAATAGTCCACCTTTGTGTGGAAATTACCTAAAAATCGATACAGCGGTCTGCTATGGTTAAAGCGTGGATGGCATCTGGAAGCGAGTCAGAAACACTAGGGAAGAAGAAACTGGGGAGTGAAAAGAAGGGTGCCAGCAAAGATGGGCAAAGGAACAGTGAAGGCGGGTGGGGGGTGGGGTGGGGGAAACCAAGTGAGGGGAATGTTTTCAGAAGGAATGATGAACGGGGTTGAATTCTGCGGAGAAGTTGGGTAGGATCAATGCCTTAAAAATGCCCTGTGGCCAAGCAGCACAGAGGGCTAGGACCATGTCTGGTTTCACACAGGAGTGCAGCTCCCCTCCGTAAAGTAAGCGCTAGATCAGCGGTTCTCAACCTTCCTGATGCCGCGACCCTTTAATGCAGTTCCTCATGTTGTGGTGACCCCTAACCATAAAAAAATTATTTTGCGGCTTCATAACTGTAATTTTGCTACTGTTATGAATCGTAATGTAAATATCTGATATGCAGGATGTATTTTCATTGTTACAAATTGAACATAATTAAAGCATAGTGATTAATCACAAAAACAATATGTAATTATAGATGTGTTTTCCGATGGTCCCTGTGAAAGGGTCGTTCGACCCCCAGGTTGAGAACCCCTGTGCTAGATGAAGAGATGTGGCATTAGTGAGTGGTGGGTATGTAGGTGTGAACTGATCAGGCCTCCACGCTGCCAGGTAAGCAGGAAGAGATGCCTGGGCTTTTTCAAATGGAAAAATGGCGTTAGGAGGATTGGGAGTGGAAGCAGTGTTTTAGTATGGGGATATATTATTCCAAGGAACCCATCTCAGAATGTACCGTGTGCACACTTTCAGCTTCATTTCTTATATACCCACTTGCATTTATTGAAGAAAATCCTGTGAGAGTCTCGCTTCTGTGTAGGGAGCTGCAGGGTCCTTATTTTTTTAATTAAACACCCATTTCAGTTTATAGAAAACACTATAAAAGCATCGCTAAATTTTTCTCAACTACTTGCCCACATGTATTTCCCAAGGTGTGGTATTTTAAGGTTTTGGTTTTGGTGATAAAGTTTTCTACCCAAATACTTACATCCCCAGTGTAGACTCAGGGTTATGTGAGTTATTGTTGGCATTACACAAAGAAGTATTAAACTGATCCTTGCTTTCAAGGAACTCATGGATAAAGGAATACAATAATAGAGAACAATACATTATTCTGTGAACAATTACTGTGCATGCCAGATTATTTGGGAGAAAAAGAAAACTAATAGGTGGGCAGTTAAAGTTTTTTGGAATAAGTAGGCCTTCAGTTGAAGAATGTACCTTATTTGGACAGTTAGGAGGACTGTCCTTTTTTCCCTTTCTAATTAGTACTTTCACTGTTGTGAGAATTAATCATTGAATCTCTTTCTGAAGAACATCAGCACCATAATGGCCATAGCTGGAATATCATTACTTCTAAGAAGTGTTCGGCTGGTAAGTTAAACAATGAACAAGACATTATGAGAAGCAGTAGACAGTTACTTTTTTCTCACTTCAGTTTTTATCTCAAGCAGTGTAGCATTTTGTTATTCATCTTAGAAACTTTAAATAGTATTTTAGGACAATGAACAATTAAGCTCTTGTTTAACAGTAACACATCCACAGTATTTTGTATGGCAAGTAATTGCACATCCTGTATTTCCATAATCACTTTCTTCATGGTTAAAAGGGAATCTGAAAAGGATTTAGTTTGCGAGAATGGTATAATCACTAAATTTGCATTTCCGACATTGTGGAATATCTCAAAACTGGTTTCTATAGCAGTTTCAGATTTAGATCAGAGTTAAATTATGTCTCTCTGAACTGAAAAATTTATGCTTCCTCTAATTTGCAACACTCTTTAAGATCAGTTGTGCAATGAATAAAGCAACATGCCCAGTATAAAAAATAATTTATGCTTTCAGTTAGCATATTTTTTTTGCACTTTCAGTACAGTTTTAATAATAAACACTTTGTGGAAATTCATTTGATATTTCAAGACTTACAAGTTTTTTTTATAACTGTACTTGCTAAAGGATGTATTTTAATGTCATGTTGCAATTGGGCATGGATTTATGGTTTCTGTATTTATTTATTTCCTACACTTATTATTTATATATTGTTTTATATTATCATTGACTACATAGCATTACTACACTACATCTTTTCCAACTGTTGCCTTTCCCCCCTAATTCCATGTCAGCACTTTTATCTTAAGTGCCTTGAACTTACTATCAATTCTTTTTAGAGAGAGAGAAAGAGAAGAAGAAACATCAATGTGAGAGAGAAACATTGATCAGTTGCCTCCCATTAGTGCTCTGACAGAGAATCAAACATGCAACCTTTCAGAGTAGAAGACTGTGCTCTAACCAAGTCCAAGCCAATTGTTTTGTAGAATGTCCCACAGTCAGGGGGGTGTGTTTCCTCATTAGATTTAGTGTGAACAAGAAGGTGGTGTATACTCCTTATTAAATTGCATCAAGAAGCTCATTGATGCCTGTTTGTCATATGACATATAATTTAATTAATAATCTCTTAGTATTTCAGACCCAGTCCATATTAAAATTTCTTTGATTGTCTCAGTAATGTCTTTTTTAAGTAGATGATTTATTCAAATCAGGATTCAGATGGTCCAGAAATTGTGTTTGTTCGTTATATCTCTTAAGTCTCATTTATTTTATAACAATTCACCATACCTATATTTCCCACCAAGCCATTGATTTGTTAGAAGAGTTACCAAGTCATTTGTCCCATTGAGTGTTCCACATGCAGAATTTGTCTGCTACAATATTTTTCTTGTGTGTAACTTTTTTTGGTAATGTTTAGTTCAACTTTACTCTCTTAGGAAGTTGGGTACTAATTTATCCTCCATATGTGAAGCTCTTAGTTAGCCATGATTATGAATGAAGCTCATCCCTGTGTCCCTATAGTATTGTTAATGTGGAAGAGATAGGTATAAAATATTGACTAACTCTAGGGCTTTAGGTATTTAATTAAATTTCTAATGTTGACCTTTTTTTGTAATTTTTCTCCTATGAGATAAAAAATAAGTAAAAAAAAAGTCTTGTTGATTAAAAGTTCTATTTTAATTTGACTTAATTTGGCTTAGGTTTTCCCAGCAGTACCTGTATGAGTAGATTGCACATCTGTGGAATAGGATAGTGACTATTTAACCAGGCTTGTGTGGTGCAAGGTACAGATATATATTCATTATACTCACTTCTTTTTGATGAATTGTGTTACATTTTGAGGATGTAAGCTTTTAGAAGTTAGGAATCTGTTCAATGTGCACTATATAGTAGCTTGAAATAGTAAAATGGTGACAAATATTTCTAAAGAATGCCCCTATAAACACTTTTGATTAAATCATATTAAATATTAATATAAAATTAAGAACCAAATAAAAATTTTTCAATGGCTGTCTTCTTGTTAATGTTTAATAATTTAACACAATTTTAAAGTGAATAATAACAAAATGTTGTATTTTTCTCCTTGTAAATCATCAGACATCAAAATTTACAAGTTCTTCAGACATTCCACTAGAATTTATAAAAAAGAATGTTAAACTACGTGGACGATTACGCCGACTAACTGAGGATGTTTTAGAAATTGAACATATTCCTATTACTTTACCTATTATATCGTCATGGAGAAGTAAGTAAGGTGCAAGTATAATAAGACTAAATAACTATTTAGTGTTCCTTTATTAGAAGTTATTTATAAAATAGCAAAAAAATTTGATTTTAATTTTTAATAACTCTAAACTCTTGGACTTAACATACAAGGAACACTTTAGCTCCAGATTTCCTTTCTTCCTTCCCTCCCTTTTATCAACTACTCATTATTTTATTCAGGCATTCAAGCATTCATTCCACAAATATTAAGTGCCTATTGTTGATTTATTCAAATCAAGATTCAGATGTGTTCTAGGCCCTATACTAGCTGTACAGTGCTGAGCGAAACAAGACCACTCTACCTCTTGGAGCTTACAGTCTAGGTGGAAGATGGACAACAAACAAATGAAAATTGTTCTTAGAGCTATAAGAGAAGGAGCTGGGTGCTAGGATGTGGATTATTGGGGATCATGTAAAGGAGGAACCTATACCTATAAAATGGTCATTGAGGAGTTGCTATTTAATCAGAGACCTGAAGAATGAGAGAACATGTGTGGGAATGAGCTTGGCTCTTGTGATAAGCCATGTGAAGACTCAAGTGGCTAGGGCATAGGGAAGAAGGGGACAAGGGGCACCAAGGAGATTGGAGGGCTGGGCAGGGGCTGGTTCTTTCCTCCTCAAATTCCCACATCCTGTTGTAGAGACTGAAGTAGGTTTTTGAAATTATTCTATCTGTTATATACTTGTCTTCTTTTAAAAGAAAGCTTGAGTATAGAAATAAATAGACTTACATCTAGAGAACCTGGGTATTTATAAATAAACAATACATTCAATTGATTTGGGGAGGGGGGGGGTAAATGATTTTGAAATTTGCGTTCACAACACAGTATTAAAGCTACTCTCTTCTCTACCTAACCTTTTTAGAAGAGCCCTGTGGTGTTTTGCTGGTTAAGCTGGCTGGAGTAGAACTCACGAAATCTGGGAAGGTGTGGTTACAAAAAGAACTAAAACCTTCCCAACTACTGTGGTTCCAGCTTCTCGGAAAGGAGAATTCAGTACTCTTTTGCTACCTTTTAGTGAATAAGGTAAGTAGTGTGAAGAAATAATAAGCAATATTTTATTCTTTTTATTTACACATTAATATGCCATTAATTAGAACAGTGATGGCGAACCTTTTGAGCTCGGAGTGTCAGCATTTTGAAAAATCCTAACTGTTTTATAAATACATTTCCCGCATACAATGTGTTAACTCTGGTGCCGTGTCACATATAGAAATTTTTTGATATTTACAACCATAGTTAAACAAAGACTTATATTTTGATATTTATTTTGATATTTATTTTCTATATTTAAATGCCATTTAACAAAGAAAAATCAACCAAAAAAATGAGTTCGCATGTCACCTCTGACATGCATGTCATAGGTTCACCATCACTGAATTAGAACATTGGCTATATAATGGGACTGAATATTTTTGTCTTTTAAAACTGCTACTCATAGTGATTATGTTTAGAGAATCAGATGTTTCATATGTAAATTCTGTTATGAAATTTTAGTTTATTATTAAAAACTAGGGGCCCAGTGCACAAAAATTTGTGCACTGGCGGGGAGGTGGTGTCCCTCAGCCCCACTTGTGCCCTCTCACAGTCTGGGACCCCTCGGGAGATAACG